ATTGCTAGTGAGAATGTAAATGATACAACTGCTTCAAAAAACTGTCTCTTTTATAATGAAACATACATCTCACATATGATCAGCCATTTTACTCCTAGGTATTTATTCAAGAGAAATAAAAACACATGTCCACACAAAGCCATGAACAAAAAATATTCATAGCAACTTGATTTGCAGTAGCCCCAAACTGGAGACGATTCAAATGTGCAACAATAGGTAAATGGATTTTTTAAAAGTGATATCCATACAATGGAATACTACTTAGCAATAGAAAGGAACAAATATTGTTCTGCTGAGTCAGAGAAGCTAAACACAACAGAGTACATACTATGTGATTCCATTTACATAAAATTCTAGAAAATTCCTACTACTCTACAGAGACGAAAACAAATCAGTGGTTGCCTGGGAATGGGATGGACAGAGGGATGACTGCAAAGGGGCAGGCAGCAACTTTTGGGAGTGATAGGAAGATCTGCCTCATGATTGTGGTATTGGCTTCACAGAGTCAATGCATCTACAAAACTCTTTAAATGGGTGCTGGTTTTTGCACATAAATTATAACTCAATAAATTTATTTTTTAAATGTCTCAGTTATTTTTTAAAAAATATCTGTTTCTTCCCTCAAAGGCCCTGTAACGCAGAAAAGTAAAATACGTGACAGTTTCTGTGCTATATAATAAAGGTTTGAACACAGGTCTTCCCAGAGACCAGGACCTGTGATCTTTGACTTATATCTGAAAACACAGGTTAATTACACCATACAGACTACAGGGGAGGTCCCTGAAGTGGAGGGAACAGCAAATACAAAGGCATGAAGTAAGAAAGTGTACAGTGAACCTAAGAAGTATGGGGCGAAACAGGAGAGCTTTTAGAAGTTGATTTTGGACCACTCTATTCTAGAAAGTGTAAAAAATAGCTATAAAGGCAAAGAAGAGCTCTGCAAGCTTTAAAATAAGCAAGTGACATGATGTATGTGATGGGCATTACTAATGATCACCAAATATTTCCAGCTCTTTCCAGGAATGTGGTAGATTTCATTTCCCTGCCATTTGCAAAATGAAGCACGGTCACGTAACCACTTTGGCCAATGAAATGTGAAGGGAAGTAGTAAGTGTCACATCCACATGAAAGCTTTTAGAGCAGTTTTTGATTTGGCACATTCTCTTCCCCTTCTGAGGTGATCAGAGAAGGGCACATTGAGTGAGATTTTCCAGGAGGTTCCTGAGAGGCTATGATTAGCAGAGCTCTTCACTTTTCCCTGTGATGAGCATGTCGCATAAATGGAGAAAAAAATGTCTTGTTACTATAAGATTGATGCTTAGGGATTGTTCGCAACTGCCCCAAAAGTAATCTAACCTTCCTGATACAATGTGCAGTTTTAGTGGAACTCTGACTATAACATAGATAATGGATTTCACAGGAGAGAACTTGCAGGGGAGGCTCCTGCAATCCACAGTTGATACGTGCAGGCACTAAGGCAGGGCCATGAGCTCAGGAAAGAATCTTGAGATGTAATAGCAAGAACTGACATGTGCTGATAATGACTGAGACTCTAAAAGAACCAAGGGGTCAACTATTCTAAAGGTGTTGAAAAGAGAAAGTTCTTACAAGAAGAGGAATGACTAAGTGGGGAGGGGAAGTAAAACAAGATTAATTTTAAAATTAATTAAGATTAAATTTAACCTTTTTAAAAGGTTAAACAAGGAGCTACAAGCAGTCTGGCAAAGTGCACCTCATCAAAAGCAGAAGCACATCCCTATCCAAAGAAAGATCATGAACTTTGGAAGAAAACAGACCTGGGTGTGAATCCTCAGTGAATTTGTCAAGTCATCCAACGTCATTCATTCAGCAAATAGTAACCAACTTCAATCATTCATTCAGCAATTGAACACCAAAAAGGTCCCTACCCTAATGGGGCTTACATTCAAGTGTAGGGAAGCCAACACTACATATTTCAGCATTGTGCAGAGAACAGACGTGATACTGTGATTATGACAAGGAGGGAAAAATAATAATATAGGGGTTGTCAAAGACAATGACCACTTCACTTTGTTCAAAACCCTTATCTGGCACCAAAGTCAAAGGTAGAGATTTGTGTGTCCTTTGTATGTACAATGATAGTTCATTGACCACAAAGGAGCAAGTGGGTTATGCTTCACCCTTTTCTACTGAGCTGAGAACATCTCTATCTTGTGCCACCATTTCTCATCCACCTTATTTTCCTTTATGCAACTGGAGGATCAAATTCTACTATCGATTGTTTTGTGAAGACCCTGGGCAAAGGGTTTCTACTGGATCATTGCATTGAATTTCTATCACTCCTTGACGTGGGTGCCATGATGATGCCCAGTGTACAGAAGAGAAGTTATGTATGGAAAGGATTCAAAATTCAGAGTCTACTGTGGAGACCAAACTCTTAACCACACTTCCTCCTTACTGTACAGGGTGGGGGAAAAGTAGGTACAGGGTGGGGGAAAAGTAAGTTTACAGTTGTGAGTACATAAACCAGAGAGTTTATTTTTGTATTATTATTGGTCTCCCCCCTTCCCCCCATATTTACATGACAAGTTTCTCTCCTGCTCTGTTGTGGCATCGGAAGTGAGGTGCAGTTGACTGCTCCTCCCACTTCAAAAGTGATAAAACTAAGTCTGGTCTTTCATCAAAATGACTTGGCTTCAGGGAAAAGAAATTAAGGTCCAAACTGAGAAATCTTCTGGAATTCAGCAAAAAGGAGGAGCATTTAACACTAGCTTTGAGGTTATTTTCCCCCCCAGGAAGTAGTGTTAGTCCATGCAAGATTATCATACGCCACTTGGAATTCTTGGACACTGTTATTTCAACAGAGCCTCTGATGTCCTGTCTACCCAGGATGGCAGGAGAAGGTTCCATAAGAACCTCCTGTCAATAGGAAGATGCTACTACATACCACCCTGCAATATATGTGGCCTGGGCACACATAAGTCTTAATAAAGAGTTTAATATATATTTTATAAATATATAATCTTAATAAATATAACATATATTTGATTTTAATATATTTTTAATAATGCAATAAATCTTAATGAAGATGTAATAATAAAAGTCCATTATTTTCCTAAGAAGAGACCCTAATTCAATGCAGCTAATTTAACTGAGACATGCATGTAAAACAGTGGCTCTCAAACTTGGTTGTAGGTGGGAATCTCCCGGAAGCTTTAAAACAAACTGATACCCGAGTCCTACCACTGGAAAGTCTGGTGTAATTGGTTTGGGATAAACTAGGCATCAGGGTTTTTAGAGGCTCCTTCGGAGATTCTAATGCACAACCACAGTTAACAATTGCAGGCATAAAAAAATAAAAATAATAATAAAAAAACAGAGGGAAGACTATAATATTCACTCTACAACTAAAAGGAAAAGGGCTGTGTCTTCATTCATCTACTGTCAGGGTTTTGTTCACCTACATAGGTCTAATACACTATCAGACCCAATTCTAATGGAAGCAAGTGGTTCTCAGTGACCAAACCATATATTTCACAGATGGTGTTTGATGACCAACTGCTGCAGATGTCAGCGACACTGCTCGCACACAGGGGTTCCAAGCCTGGAGAAGAATTCCGGTGGTCTGTGAACTTGGATGGAAGTAAAAGTTACACCTCCAGCTTCACTAGCTTTCCTGGAAACTCAGCATTCCCTTGGGCGATGAATATGGACAACATTGATCATTGTATTCCAGTAGAACTGATTCTGATTTAATTGTGCTTTATGTATTTAAAAGCATTATTCTGAGAAGGGTCTGAATGCATCCCCAGAGCCTTTGTGGTCAGTGGCACAAGAAAGGGCACCAGCCCTGCTTTGAAGAGTGTGCCCTGACGAGCCAGATAACTGCACGCTTGCATCCAAGGCCACCTCCACCAAGGGCACTCCGGGAGGGAGACACCCGGGACAAAGATGGCTCTAGGTTTCCCCTGCACTTCCGCAGATAAGATTTAGCCTGAAAAGCCAGTTCAACACAGCAGAGAATAGGATGGGCATTCTCTTTCGCCTCAGCTGCCTTCTGCTCTTGGCATTTCAGAGTGCCCAGACTGCCAGGCTGGTGGTAACTTGAGCCTCCAAATTAATCAAAACACACAGCGCCCAGTTCAAACCCAGGCAGACAAGCCAGGGAGCCAGACACGTTCTCCTCTGGTAACCCCCAGGCCCCAGCTGCCCCCCCCCCAGCCCGCCCCCCACCCCGCAGGCCCCACCAGAGATGCCAGATTTCCTCCACTGCCCCCACCGGCAGGTGTCCCTGGGCGGGACTGCCCAGACTGGGTCCTGGGCGCCTTACCTCAGGGGGCCGCCCACAGCGCCAGGAGCCGCCTCATCTCCAGCCGGCGCGGCGCACACCTCCCGGCTCTGCCGCGCCCGGATCCGGCGCGATTTGACTCAGCTGCCCCTCCAGGTGCAGGCGGTTGGAGAAGGGCGAGCAGCGAGTTCGCACCGTCGGGAGCTGGAGCCCGCAGGGCCTCTCCAGTGCCTGCACCCTGCGCGCCTCCCACTTAATCTGGGCACGGCCGCTGGCCACTCCCTTCACTCTGCTCCGCCGCCTCCCCATCTCACCCCCCAAATTCCCCACCTCCGACCCGCACCCCGCCCCGCTCCGCCTCGGCTCCAAGACTTTGGGAGCATCCCTTCCTTCACCCCTCACCTTGGACCCTCGCCCACCTGCCCCGCAGGCGCGCGGCCCTTCCTCGCCTCCCGGGCACGGCGCCCAGGTCGGAGGGACATAGCCCGGTGAGTTGGAGGGGAGGGGGGACGAGGGCGGGACCTGAGCCACTGCTTCCCTCCCTTGGAGCCACAGTCAAAAGCCTGGGTGGGGAGGGACGGACGGCGCTGCTGGGCCCAACAAAACACGCCCCGGGCTGGCTGGCGAGGCCAGCTTCACCGCCGGACTCCCCTACCGAGAGCCAGGCAAGGGACGCGGTGGCCGGATCGCCTGCGGGACCCGGACTCGCCGGGACTCTGAGCGGGTGCCCACCATGAGCCCCTGGACGGCGCGGGGGGCGCCCGCCCTCCTGCTGCCGCCAGTGCCGGTGCTGGTGCAGGTGCTGCTACTGCTGCTGGCGGCCGCGCCCGCCGCGGGCAAGGTGAGTGCGGGGCGGCGCCACCCCCATCCCGCACTGCAACTCCCACCCTCCGCCCTGGGGACACGCCCGCCCCACCCGCCGGGCGCGGTCCTGGAGACCCTTCCAGGTGGCTGCGGGCTCCATGGAGGTCCCTAGGCGGGCAGCGTGGGTCGTGAGCAAGTGGAGATGCCCAGGGAGCAGGTGGGTCGGTAGGTCGATGATCGCCAGGGATGAATGCGTGAGAACACGGGATGCAGAGACGCGCGGTGTCTCACAGGTTGGTGAATCAGAGCAGGCAGCGTGTCCTGGCAGAGAGCACACAGGGCTGGTAGTGAAAACCCGAGCCTGAGTCCTGGCCCTGCCGCTCCTTAGATGTCACTTCACGCTGAACTCTGACCTCTCTGGGTCTCGGTTTCCTCCTTGTCAAAGCTTGTGCTCCAGTGTTCAATCCGCATCATCAGGAAAAGCCGATGCCATCACTGACAAGTGAACATCACCTTAGAGATAGAACTGATGTTAGTATAAATGAAGCAACCTGTCACTTTCATTTCCAGTAGGAATTGGAAAGATCCCCCATTCATTTAAATCCAGCCCATATTTCTTATTCTTTGCAATTAAAGATAAGTTGGGTGTCCTCAATACTGTTATGACTCCTAGAATTGAGTTACTTGATTTTAGGTTGTGAAAATGAAATTCAACTTTTCAGATTCTTTCTGTGATTTTTATATTAAAAATTTTAATTTGGAAAAATAATTTGGGGTAATAATGCAGTTGTTTCATTTCCAAGCATAAGCAGATGTTTTACAAATTTCATGACTGAGATTATTATTGGAAATTAATAGTCCCGTGCATTTATGTTCCATAAAAAAGATTTTTGGAACCCTTGGCCACATGTAATCCAAGTACTTTCCATGCAAATTAAAATGTAAATTAAAACATTACAGATGAAGCTAACATGCCCTTGATAACCTCCATACATAGGCCCCTCCTCTGTCTAAACAAGGTATCCACTCACCACTTCAGGTTTCTTTCGCAGCGTTTCCTATGCATTTACATGCACATATGTGGACCCACAAACATTTTTAACATAAGTGATATGATTGATTTTATATTTATATATTATGTTATATGTTATGTTTGTTATATGTTATATGTTAATATCCTTTTGCAACCTATAAATCTGTCCTTGTCAGTATTTAAGATAGATCTATCTCTTTTTTTCTTTTTTGCCCCCTTGCGTAGTTTTCCACAATATGAATATGCCAAAACTATTGGGCCTTTCTCCTATTGATTTACAACACTTAGGCTATTTAGTGTTTTACATTTTATAAGTTTTGTAATCCATGTAATCTCTTCATGGAGCTGGTTCTAACCAATGTATTTTGCATAGACTAGGAATGTGCAACCCCGGTAGCTCAGTACTTCTGGGGATAATGGATGAAACTCATCCAAGTCAGTGTAGATTGTCTACCAGCTTTAATCCAGGAATAGATAAATCCAACAAGCAAAAAACCTTGAGGAGATGTATGCTATGGGAAGGCTTGGGGGAAAGGTCCAGAGCAGGGTTTGCACATCCTTCTAAACTCAAAAAAAAAAAAGGAGATATATATTAGAGAGGAGTGGAGAAAGAGAGGGGGAATCACATGTGTATAAAGGTCAGCCAGGAAAAGTGTGCTCTGTGATTATACAACCTCTAATTAGACTAATTTTCAATTATATTGTCATATTCCCATATTATTATTTTTTATTGATTTTTTTAGAAAGAGCGGAAGGGAGAGGGATAGAGAGATAGAAACATCGGTGAGAGACGTCATCAATTGGCTGCCTGCTGCACACACCCCCACTGGGGATCGTGCCAGCAACCCAGGCATGTGCCCTGACCAGGAATCAAACCAGCGACCTCTTGGTTCCTGGGTCGATGCTCAACCATGGAGCCCATATTATTTTTTACATGTCAAACTTGAGATAACAGTTTATCTTTCCTCTTTTGGCCCTAAAAGTCCAGACTGGGCAGAAACATGGCAAGCAAATACCAGGAGCTGAATAAGAGCTGGATTTAGGGAGGATACTCTCTCAACAGAATTCATTTTTAAATTTAAAAATGTAGGGTGAATTAGGAAACATTTCAAACTAACAGGAAGTGATGTGACAGACACCATTATATCTGTCCTCAAGAGTAAGCAGGCATGAATAAGCTTTAACCTGTTTGCTCTCACATTTCTCCCCTTTAGGAAAAACAATGTATAAATAGAGAAGGTCACACACACAGTCTTTACTCCATCTCCCACCCCCACGAAGTGTGCACACAGCTGACCATGGGTTTGAACTGTGAGTCCACTAATTTTTTTTTTTTAATAAATGGAACAGCCCTTCCTATTCCAGGGTTTCACATCCTCGGATTTCCTATCAGCAGATTCAGCCAACTGTGGATCAAAAAACAACAGTATTTCCTCATTCCCAACTGCACATGGAAAATACTGTTTTCCAGCAGAGGTTGGTTAAATCCACCAATGCACAGGGCCAACTCTAGAGTGTGTGTGTGTGTGTGTGTGTGTGTGTGTGTGTGTATATATATATATATATATAATTTTGCCATTTAAATGTGCAGAAAATATTTTATTCCAGTCTTCGATTTATCTACTGGTACCTTAATGTATAACATTTTTGTCTACTATAATCTCAAACTTATCCATTTTTTTCCTTAGTATTTTGTGGTTTGCATCTTTTGAAGAAATCCTTTCCTTCCCTGGTATTATAAAAATGTTCTCATTTTTTTAAAAAAAAAAAGTTTTACAGTTTAACTCTTTTACATTTAGAACTTTTAATCCTGGAATTGTTTTCTACTTATAGAACATGATTTCATCTTCTTCCATAGAGGTAGCAAATTATCCCAACACTACTTATTGAACAGTCCATTCCTTTCCTCACTGTTTTGTAGTATTACATCTGCAAACATGTGTAGCAAGCACTCATTCATATTTGAGTCTATTTTCATATATGGGAGTGTTCATTTAGGGATTTACTTTCTCACAATGGTTTAGGGTTTTCTGTTTCTTTACTTCCAAAGTATTTCATATTTTATCACTACTGTAAATAGCATATTTTGCAAAACTTAATAGTCTAACTATTAAAGACAGAGCAAAACACAGTTGAATTTTGTATTTTAACTTTAATAAAGCAACTTTGAATAGTTGAAATGCAGTTAAGGCTAAAAACTTTCCTCTAAAATACTGCTTTAGCTGCACTACACACATTTTCATAAGCACTATTTTAATATCACTAAATTTAAAAATCTTTTCTAATTGATTTATTTGTCCTATGTGTTATTTAGATGCTTATTTATTTTTAATACCCCAAAGTATGGGGATTTTCTAGTTATCTTTTTTATTGAATTGTGGTAGAGATAATATTCTGACTTCATAGATTTCTATGTAAATCAATTAGATCAAGATTTTTGATCATGCTATTAAATTATAATGTATGTGCACATGTGTTTCTTAATATTTCCCACTCAGTGGATATTTAATCTGAGGTTCTATACTTTTCATCAAATCTTGAAAATTGTCAGACATTTCTTTTTTATATTTCTCCTTTCCCACTCTACTCCTCGAGTTCTTAGGATGCATGCTGGACCTTCTCACCTTTTCCTCCAGTTCTCCTAACTTCTTATCAGATCCCTTCCAGATGCTACTCAGCTCCTCTTGGCCTCACTTTGCTCCTGGGTTGTGGGGACTTACTTCCCCAGCTTTCACCTTGGCCACAGACTTGACACAGACACAGCCTGATGGCTCCTGTAGATTCTATCTCATGGCTTCTTATTGTGCTCTAGAAATGTAGGGAATTAACACCTATAGGGCAAATCTTTGCCCAGTGGGAGACAGGAGCCATTGGATAAAATTCTCTCCACAGAACAACTGTCATGAAATATAAGGGTTTTGCAGACTCCCGATTAGACCAATTACCAGTTGTACTTGAGATCAAGTTGTAGCATTTTGAGCTTTTGTTTTGGTGCTGCTTCCCTCCAGGCTGCATTCTATGAAACATAATCATACCCGTCTTTCAATTTTTAATTCTCTCTCCTGTTGTTTTTAATTTTCAGATTTTTAAAATCTACTTTAATTTTCAATAATAAAAGAAAACTCTAGAACCATTCAATATGGGTTATGCCTAAATATCTGTACAACTTTTTCTCCAAAAAGTTAAGATGGTTGGCCCTGGCTACAAATGCTTAAAGCTATACACATTACCATTTGTATATATTCAATTATATTGCCCCACTATCAAAGTATGAGGAAGTTATGTGCATAAAGAATTAAAGAAACATTACCAAAACAGCAAACACTTGGAGAAATGAATGTAGATAAGGAGCGATGTATTAAAAACCAATATGGCACACCTCGCCTTTCTTGTTCAACTATAAACTAGGTATCACTAGAGTTCAGCCAGGTAGCAGGTTCAGTGTTACCTTGAACCAGTTACCTCCTGAAAGAGCCATATTTTTGTTATCTGAAAGTGGTGGTACTTTATGTATTGTAGATAAAGTATTCAATACAATGCCTGGTACAAAGTAAGTAGCCAGCTTTTATATTCTAGCTATAATTATTTGATTATTACTATGAAAAGCAGGAAGAAGAGAATAGGACAGAGACTTAGACATGTGGCCAGGTGTTGGGGATTCACTGAAAAACTAGACAGTCTGCATCCCTGGCCATGGTTAGGAGTCTAGCAGAGTAGGGCAGAGACAACAGCCCAGCAAACAAATGTGCAACTATATCGTGGTGCCTGCCAGGATAGAATGGGATATGGTGACAGAGAAGGTGAGATTCTACCATAGCTAGAGGTGGTTGGGAACAGCTCTCTAAGGAACTGGCTCACAGGCTAAGTAAGCCCTTACATGGAGACAGCCTTGGGAAGCATTGAAGAATGTGGCCAGGTCAGGGCCTCTCCATGGCGGAGAGAGGCTAGACACTTCCAATTTTATGGCTCCTGGGTTGTCAAAGAATAAAACCAGACTAACAGAA